CTCTCTCTCTCTCTCTCTCTCTCTCTCTCTCTCTCTTCCCCACACACATTACTTACTACAGGAAAGTTAAATACTTTAATGATGTCCAGTTAAATGATGACCATTCATGTTGCTTTCTTTTTTCTATCATATTGCCTCACTAGATTGTCATTGCCCATTTTCCTTCTGGACTCTGCCTTACTTGAAGGCAGGAACCTGTCTTACTCATACAATCATCACCTAGCACAATAGATGGCACCTAGTAGACACCTAATAAGTTTGCCAATTAAATAAAATGAAAGAACGAACAAATGATTTGGATGTGTGAATGTTAAAGAGCACTACTAGTTTGATTAAGAATCAAGGCTGAGTCCTGTTCCCAATTCTCTCCTTTATCAGCCATTAGAATTTGGTAAATCACACTTAGGAGTCTCAAGTTCCTCTTTACAAAGATGATAATAGCTGCCTCGTGGGGTTGATAAGAATTCAGAGAGGAGAAGAGTGCTTGTTTATATGAAAATGAACCATAAGCTTCTATATTCATACCCTGCCTGATTCTTCAAAGGGCTTGACAGCTCAGAATAAATTAGATGGCTCTCAGCTCAGGTGTTGGGACCCAATGGTGTGTTAGGGTCAGCTGTGAGGAGGGAGAGGTGGCATTACAGTGCTGAATGTGCAGCCCCAGCCAAGGTCATAGTCAGAGGCCAGTCAAAATCCCTGTGTAATCCTGGGAATGTCACACGTGAGCATGTATATAATGGAGAGAAGAAAAGAACAATAAACTGAAAACAAATAGAAAGTCTAATCCATGGAAAATACAGACTATATAAGAAATTAAGACCTAGTGGAACAAAGCTCCACAGGATATAAAACCCCAAGTGCTTACTAAATTTGAGGCATCAATTTGGTTTTAAGTTTGATGAGCCAAAATAAAAGGGAAAATGTGACCAGTGATGTACAATTCACATTGTCCATGAACACAAGCCATTCCTCAGGAAAAACAAAACTCCCACTAAAAATGAGAGAAATGTCTTTTACATGGGTCTTAATATAAGAGATTGTTAATGTAGAGAATGAAGCCTTGAACCCCATTTATATTATAAGTGTGATAGTGGGTATCCACAGCAGTTTCTACAAGGTAGCCACACACAGTATAACACACTTCTCTGATGGTTTGGCCTTATTTAGGGATAAAGCTGGAATTTCTAGAGCAGAAGTTCTTAGCCTGGGATCCACGAATCCATAAGCATCCATGAACCTCCTGAAGTTACATGCAAAATTTTATGTGTATGTGCATTTTTCTGAAGCAAAAGCCTATGGCTTTTATCATATTCTAAATGAGTCTGTACTAAAAAAAAAAAAAAAAAGTTAAGGACCAGTGATCTACTACAGCAGTGGTTCTCAGAATACAGTCCCAGAGCCAACTGCATCCGTAGCACTCAGAACCTTGTTGGAAATGCAGATGCTCAGGCCCCACCCCAGAGCAATGAGTCAGAAAGTCAGAAACTCTAGGGGTGGCGTCCAGCTATTTGTGTTGAAAAGCTCTCCAGGTGACTCTGATGCCTGCTGAAGCTTGAGGACCACTGCTCTGAAGTGTGTCCTTCAGATTCGCCCTCTTATTAATTACTTCCTGCAAGTGAAAACAGAAGACAACTCAGGCAATCGTCTTTGTCAAGGAACCACAAGGTGGGTGTTCAGGCTTGCTGGATAAGGGCAAATACATATATATTTTGAAAATTACGTAAATGGGTTGAGATCATTTTTGTGAAAAATTTGGACGCCTAAATGAAAGTCTTGCCTTAATAAATAGCCATCACATTGCCACATAGAGGTGGCCTGAAGAAATCAGAAAACGGGCAAGGAAGGTTCTTAAGTTTCTTGCTGCTTTATGTGGTACATAAACTGCCAGTATCAGAATAACTGAGGATGCTTGTTAAAATGTCTAAACCTCACTGCAGACTTCATAAATCACAAGAGAGAGCAGAAATTTCTGTTTATGGTTCTCCATATGCGGTTATACCCTAATGTTTGAGAACCACTATAGAATGTCATCCAGAGTCTTTTATTCTGAAAATTATTTGGAGCAGGATAACCCAAGCTATCATTAATAACGTGCCACAGAGCTGGGTCATGAATCAGAAGGCCTGGTCCCAAGTCGCAGTCCCCCCGTCATGACATTGTGATGTGAGACCAGAGTCTGCACCTACCAGAGCAGTCCTCTGATCTGCAAAATGGCTTATTCATCATAGTGGATCACTTCTCTTACAGGATTAGTTTAAGAATTGAATCAAATATTATACATGTGAAAGCACTTTGAAGGAAGAAAATTGCTAGTAGACTTTGGTCTTGGCTTTTTTTTACTATCCAGACTCAGTTTTCTCATTTACAAAATGAAAAGGTTAGACTAAAAAAGATGGCCTTTCAGGCCCCAGTCCTGACTACCATTTTATGAAATGTTACACTCATAATGCTCTAAGTGATAGTAAGTATTGTAAATACACAATATTTTTTGTTTTAAATATATGGATATTCTCCGCTTTCCTCCATTCTCAGCTCTTTCAAACTAATCTGACAGAATCCTCCTATGTAGCTTTGCAGACTAACCTGATTCTCTATTCTATTTCTCTAACTCTTTCTGCTGCTTTTATAACCCTCTTTTTACATCTTAAAACTTCTGATATTTTCTCACATATATTAATTTTGGATAAAAAAAAGTGTTGGCATAGCATAAAAGTCATGTCTTGTGCCTCTCTGGGCTTGTGATGAAACCTGATACAAAATGACATTTACAAAATGGCACTTGCCTAGGGTTTTAAGGCATTTTTTGGTTTGCATATTGCATAGTATATGAACAGGAAGTAAAAGCATATTTAACATGCTTTAAGTGATTACTAATGTTGTCCCTTAGTGTCGTGATTTTGATTTATGCCGAAGAGTTTCTGGGCAAAGGCAGCACAGTGCCACCGGGCACATTTACACAAGAGATCAGTGGGATCCTGAAGTCATTGGGAATCGTAGGAAAAGGAGGCGAGAAGCCCAGAAACAAGGAAAAGGAGAAGAGGAAGGGGAAGAGGAAGAAGAGCAAGAAGAAGAAGAGGTAATAATATCCCAATACCATATACTATACTTTTAAAATTCACAATAATTAAATTAACTGATGGCATGGATAATAGAAAAATAGCAGATACTGGAGAAAATGACATTTTCTTTGTATTTTTATTCAGCCTGGAGGAAATAGCAAAAATATTTCATGTTTTCAAGAACTATTATATCATACTCTGGAGGTCATCAAATTTAACCTCCTTCTCAGCATGGAAGTCCCTCCACATCCTGACAGCTAATCTGCTTCATTTTATAGCAATACCCGCTTTGGTCACCCACTTTGTGTCAAGCATTATGCAAGTTAGAGTGAGGAGTTAGAGTAAAAAAAGACAAAGTGTATTAGGGGGATTAAGGTAGCCCAGGCACTATCCGATTTATGAAGTTAACATAACCCCAATTCCAAACTGACAAAGAGAGCACATAAAAAGAAATCTATAGCCCAGTTTCACATATACATGTTGTTACAACAATCCTAAAGTCAATACTAGTAGGCATAATGCAGTAAGGCACCAAAAGAAGCTTCTACCATGATTTAATGAGGAAAATTTGATGTTAAGAAACCTGTTAACACTTGATGAACTGGATTTGGCCCACAGGGGTGGTATAGGTCATAGTATGCCAGTCCCTGCTCTACTGATATATACCTGTGATTTCTATTATAAATTAATAACTTTATATAATATTTATAATTTATTATAAATTTGTTATAAATAAATGGCATTTCTATTAGACCCTAGACTATGTTAATTTATAGATGACACATTGCAAATCATTTCCCAGGTAGACTAGATAGTCCCCACAGGTTAGTTTTATTGCCCTGTGGGATATTAAACAGCCTTATATCTAACATCACAATCTTATTTCCGTGACTCTATATACCTCAGCTTTGTTATCCTGCTGCTTCCCTCACTAATGGGTTCAATGTATTTTTGACATGTGTTTTCTCATTTAGGAGTAGATCTTAAAATTTCTCATCACACAAAAAAAATTGTTTATATGTAATGATGAATATTAACTAGACTTAACTGCGGTGGTCATTTTGCAATGTATATAAATATTGAATCATGTTGTACACCTGAAACTAATATAATGCTATGTCAATTATATCTCAATTTTAAAAACCTGTTAAGGGCCGGCCGAGTGGCTCAGTTGGTTAAGAGCTCACTCAAGAGTTTGAGCTCTGAGCAACAGTGGTTCAAGTCCAGCCCGAGCTGAGCAGCCACTGAGCTGCCAACAGGTAGCAGGATGGCTCAGCTAAAAAAAAAAAAAAAGACCTGTTAATATAAGAAAGCCCACTTAAAAACATAAAATATTCTTCCCTGTACAAATATGGCATTAATTAATAGTCAGCATCTATTCCAGATCTGTTTTTAAATAAAAAAATTTATAAAAAACATAGTTAATAGGAACAAAAGTGTATCATTTTGCCATGAATAAAGCACACCATCTTAAATCAAAGATAGAGATAGGGGTCACACTCACATAGTTTCAGGGGCCATGGTTACGTCAGTGTGTGATGTTGACTAGGAAAGAGTGAGGACTAGGAGTAGGCTAGGACTGCGCTATCCAATATGGTAGCCACTGGCCCCCTGTAGCTGTTTAAATTTAAATTAATTAAAATTATAAAAATTTAAAAATTTGGTTCTTCAGGAGCACTAGCCACATTTCAAGTGCTCAGTGACCAAGCGTGGCTATGTCTTCCAAATTGGATAGCATAGATACAGAACGTTTCCATTATTGCAGAAAGTTCCTCTGGACAGCTAGAGTGTTATGCCCTTCTTCTGAGGACGGCTGCCTCTCAGCTCCAGCCCAGCCAACTACTGGCATGGGAGAAAGCTGGCCTGCTTTTACCAGTAGTCTGTTTTTTCCAGAGAAGCTGAAATCAGTGTTTTAAAATAAGAGTAGTTGGCAATTAATCTGAAATTTTTTAAATACCATGCAGACCAATAATGTGGGAGATTATTAAATTATGCCTTCAGGCCGGATTCAGCCCCCAGGCCCCTTTTGCTGTGATCCCTGCCTAGTGGCACAGCCATGTTCAAAAGCAAACCTGCTGCCCACTTGGGTGGATGGCATGAAAGTGTTTACCCTTATATCCACACAAATGTAAACAATCTCCCTGAGCTGCTGTAACTTTGTTCATGTTCTCTTGGCTTCCACTTTTCTCGACCTGCCCCGTCCCATTTCTTTCTTTACAGAAGCCAGTGCCATTTTTTTAAAAAGCATGACCCTCAATGACTTTCTGTTACCTGTAAATGAAAACCCAAACACCCTTACGTGGTTAATAAGGCCATGGACACAACCTCTCTGATCTCAGCCCTGCTGTCTCTCTCCACTTGCTCCCCATATTCCAGCCACGTTGGCCTTCCAGCTAGTGTTCAACTGTGAGCTCAGTCTCACCTCATCTGTGTGCTTACTGTTTCCTCTCCCCTCTGCCAACCACACTGTCCTCCAGACCCTCGTCTCATTCCCCTCACCCACGTCTCACCCCAGGGAGTACGTGTCCAGAGACCATTCAGCGAGCTACTCTCCAACCCAGACATATACCCCACCCTAGATGATTTTAAATGTGCTAGCGGCCACTTTTTAAAAAAAGTAAAAGGAAACAGGCAAAAGTAATTTTAGTAATATATTTTATTTAAACCAATATATCCAAACTATTATTTCAACATGTAATCAACTTAAAAATTCTAAGAATGATGCACGTTTTTCATGCGAGGTTTTTGAAATCTGGTGTGCACTTTACACTGACAGCACGCTCCAGTGTGCGCTTGTCACATTTCCATTCTCAGTTGGTACGTGTGGCTGGTTGCTACTGTGCTGAACGGCCAGATCAACCCCTTACCCTGCTTCATTTTTCTCACAGTGCTTACCTCTTTCTGAAATTGTGTTATTTGTTTACTTGCTTATTATCTGTCTGCCCCACTGAAGGTTAGCTCTATGCAACAAGGACTGTACCGCCTGAGCCTAGAACAGTCCTCCACATACAGTAGGTGCTTAATAAGAAGTTGCGTACTGATTGAATTCACAAGCATCCTAGCAAAGCCCTCTGCTAGAGAGAGAAGAATGATAGCGTCTTTCAGAAAAGACACTTTGAAATGTATACTCTTTGGTCCAGTCATTTTACTTTTAAGAACTACTCTGAGAGAAAATATTAGCAGTATAAAAATTTATGTACAAAGCTATTCAGTGAAACGTTATTTATAATTGTGAAAAATGTGAAACATTCTTGTTGTCCAACTCTAGAATAATGATTAAATAATTCTATATTTAAGGATATTAATATATTATTTGACCATTAAAATAGTATTTAAAACATTTCAGGTAAGTTAGTAAATGGCTTATCTAATAGATAATGTGATTCAAATGGTATAAAATATGGATCTGTATGCATTGATAAAAAACTAGAATTAATAATTAGGTAATAAATATAATAATGGGATTATAAATATGATATTAAACACTTTCCAGGCCTTGGGCTGAGAACTTTTACATGTACTATTCCCTCTGCTTTGAAATGCTCTTTCTCCAGAAATCTGTGTGGCTCTCCCCCTCATTTCCTTCTGGGCTCTATTCAAATGTTACTTCTTTCATGACTACCTGATTAAAATAGCATTTCTCCCATTACTCTCCATCCCCTCTATCCTGCGTTATCTTTCTAAGCTCATGCTTACCACCACCTAACCTGTTATATACCAGGGGTGCCCAAAAAATGTACACACGTCACTTGTATTCATCATGTGTTATCAGTATATATTGAGTATTGCAATTTTAATACAGTTTTTTCCTTTCTTAAAATGTGTATACACTTTTTTTGACACCCTCTGTATTTATTTGTCTACTGTTTATGTTTTATCTTCCCCAACTGGAATGTGTGCTGTATGATCCCCAGCATCTTAGTTTTATTCACTGTAGTATCTCAAGCCTATAGAAGTACCTGGCACATAGGCACCCGATCAATCTTTACTGAATGAATGAATGAATGAATGAATGAACAAACTAGAAGCTCAGATATTCAGAGAAAATCTAATTTCTTTGGCTCTAAAAACCTGATGTTTCCCCCTGCTCTTCCCTACTTACTGAGGAGCAAAAAGAAATTAAGTCTCAAAGTCAATTTAAAGTTTTATTCCATCTGATAAATGCCCCTCAGGATGTTCAGTGTCTCAAATAAAAATCCTCAGTCTCTGATTTTCCCTTCTCGCCCCAAAATGGCACCTTGTACAGAAGGAGGGATGTGGCTTGTAAGTTAAGGAATCATTAAGATAAAGATATTTAAAATCTCTTCTTTTCTATATAGGCATTTATTGCTGAAATGCAGATGGTGGCTGAAGTTCTTCAACATCTAGTTCAGAGGCCTGAGGATTATTTGGAAAATGTTGAAAACGTTGTTAAACTTTATAAGGACATAATTCTTCATTCTTTAGAAGTAAGAACAAGATATATTGCTGAAAATGGGAATATTGTTATTTGTGTTCTATCACTGGTTAAATAGCTTTCACATTTATTCATCTGCCTGATTCTTTCCTCTTGAGCTTGGTAGAATGCTATTAAAATAAGCCTTCCATCCCAAAGACCGTTTCACAGAACAGTATTATTTTACTCTTACAAAGCAGCAGTGTTGCTGAAAAGTGATAAATGTGCTACATTATTCAAAAGTCTCTAGAGGAATTCATTTATGGTTGGAGATTGGAAAACCCATGTTAAGAGACTATTTTGTAAAATCATTTTCAATCTGTAATTTATGGGTTTATCAAAACAAATGTACACTTAAGGTGCATCTTTTATTCTAAAAAGAATTGTTAACTTATTAAAATTGCAGTCTAAAGAAGAATTATTCCCAGATTGGTTTCTATAATTATCCCATTCAAAGTTGATTATATGTAAACATGATAAGGCCATTATATACTGTAATAAGGAAGTTTTAATTAAAAGAATTAGCATTTTAAAAATACAATTACTAAAATTCAATCTAGGAAAAGCATATTTTATATGGCAGAAAATCCAGGAAAGGCGCTGTCAAATTTGTGTTGGAGATTTGTTCAACAAACATTTATTAAACTTGGGTATTTGGCCAGACACCAGGCTAAGCAGTAGAACTACAAAGACAAATAAAAAACAGTCTTCACGTTGCCTCTTCCCATCTGATAGAGAAATTAAAATAATTTGTTTTATGCTGATTTTTAATGTTAGATATTTTAAAGACTAGTAAGTGGATCATTTTCATTCTCATCATTGACCCCCCAAAATGAGAACCAAATTTAATTGTTTTCTTATGTACGACTTTTATTCCTCCCTTCCTCCTCTTCCATCCCAGGCCTTTAAACATAGCTTCTTAAGAGTAATTTACATGTCTATTCATAACATTCTTTTTTCATTCAACAAAAATATCCTGCATCGTCCTTAAGTGTCTGGAATTGGATAAGAAATAAAGCATAATTAAAATCAGATTCAGAAAATAGGAAAACTATGTTCATAGAGGGAAAATAAACAGAGATAGACTCTTCAAGGATAAGGACCAGCTCTTCCATTCTAGCATCGCCAATACCCAGTGCAGTGCCCAAAGTCTGGCAAGTGGTAAATGCTTGACAGATGTTCAGCTGAACAAGTGATGAGATCACAAAGGAAAAACAGATGATAGCTTCAACTTCATTACATAGAAGACGTTTGGAAATAAATTTTTAAAGAAAAAAAAACCTTGCTCAAATTAAAAGACAACAAACTGGAAATATATCCACATGAATTACGAAAAAGTCATAGAAATGATTTTTTTAAACCTGTAAGTTCTCACTCTCCTGAGATAAATAGGCCATAAATATGAACAGAGTTCACAACAGTGAGAGACAAAAGAGTAAAAGGTCTCTAGAAAAATGTTCAGCTTCACGGATTATGAAGAAATGCTCATCCAAGCAATGAAGAATCATTTCCATGATCAAATTTTAAAAGATGAACAAAGAATAAAAATTTCTAATGCTAGCAAGAGTAAGGTAAAGCAAACATTCACACCCTGCTGAAAGGAACAGAAGTCAGTATAGTCATGTTTGAATAGCTTGTCCATAAAAAGTACAGAAGTGGAAAACTTCTGGGCCCTGCTGCAAAGCATAGATAAGAATTGATTGTCCTATTGCCAACAAAGCAAGAACTTCAAAGCCAAGAACCTAGACTTTAGGCCTAGGTGACACTTTGTTAACAGTAAAACAATTGCCTTACAAGTATAACTAGTAATTCCAGGGTACCGGCGTATTTAGAAGGAGGTGGGAAAGAGCCAGAAAAGGTAGGAGCCTATAATTCTAGTCTCTTCTATTCTGGCTGAGATGTCAATTCACTTGAGAGACCAAGACCACCAAAATTCAGTATGCCTCCAGGAGACACGAGAAAGCAAGAAGGAGCAAACTAACCTGCATAATTTTCGGGTTTCTATCCTGCTCCAGGAGTAATCCAAAACCAAGTCCTCATCCATACCTGTCTTTAAATCCCAGCTTGACTCCTGGTCTCACCTGGTGCACATATCTTTAGCCTTTGGAGTGTTCATACCCTTTGACTTAGCAAGTCTACTCTTAAGAATCTAGCTTAAGGAAAGGGTCTGAGATTCAGAAAAGCATTATGTGCGTCCTTGTGCAGAATATGGTTATATATGGTTAAATAAATAATGCTGGCATATGTTCTGTCTGTCTAGAAGACAGAAACACTTAAAACCCAACCTTTCACAGTATTGTGAAAAAAAATGCACTGGACAATAAGATGAGTTTGTTCAGACGATTGTAATAGGGAGAACCTTCACTAATGAGGAACTTCTCAAAGAAAAGGAAGAGGACCTTGGATTTTATGGAGGCAGGTAAAGAAGGGAGCCATTCTCCAGTCTGATGGGAATCATGAGGAAGGCTGGAGGCGGGTCTCATGTGAGTCCTTGAAGAAGGGTGGCAGTGGATCTTCGCTCTTACCATCCTTACTTCCTGGGAACACAGGGCTCAGATAAAGTTCAACATTGCCAGGGTACAAAAATAAAATCCAGTGGGTTTTAGATTTTAATCTTAGAAACAAAAGAAGTATCGTAAGACAATTTACATAAATAGTAATATAATCTTGTGATAGAGAAAATCTAATTGAAGCAAGAAAGGAAATCCAGAAACAATTAAAACATATTTCATTATAAAAATGTTTTACATTGCAGAAGATACCATAAACAAAGTCAAAGATAAATCATAGCAAGGTAAAATATCTGCCGTTCCTATGATAAATAAGGGTTAAAGACTCTGTGAATGTCAGGGAAAACAAACAATCTAATAGAAGAGTGCATAGAGGGTATGGTTGGTTAGGTGGTGTACAGACATCTGGATCCTGGACCTCCCCCATAACCAAAGGAATATAAAGTAAAACAAACCAATCCCATCTTTAACTATCAGTTTGACAAATTATTTTATGAATATCTGCAGAGAAAGAGATGTCCCAGAACATTTTCTAATGGGAAGGACTCTAAGACTTCAGTGTAAAGAAAAACTGAAAAAAAAAAAAAAAAGAAAATTCATGGTAAGAAGACTAGGCTTTGGCAGAAGATCCCTTGAATATTGAAAATAACATACATCATATCATGTATGAAGCAATTTAGCTTTCAAGATTTTTTTCATAGTATATTAAGACCTGGTCTTGCATTTAGTTTTCCTAATAATCCTGGATTAAAAGATTTATTTTCTATTATCTGCAGGAAGTAATGGCTGAACACAATTCCCAGTATCTCATTGAGCTCGATGGAAATAAGCCCCCAGAGGAGCTCTTCGTGGTAAGTGTAATGTTCAGTCAGACTATCCCACGGTTTGGAAAATCAAAAGATTGTTGACTGGATTGTGCTTACGTTAATAAACATTGGAAATATATTTACATTTTTAACACCATTTATTTTTTTTACTAATTTAAGGTGTACAAATCAATGTAATAGTTAGACATGTACACCCCTCACAAAGTGATAACCCTCCTCCCCCAATCTACTACCCCTCTGAATTATATATATATATATATATATATATATATATATATATATATATATATATATATAGAGAGAGAGAGAGAGAGAGAGAGAGAGAGAGAGAGAGAGAGAATGATAGCTGACATTCAGTATTATTCAACTTCAGCTTCAGGTGTACATTGCAGTGGCCAGGCATCTACACTGTCCATGAAGTATTCTCCCTAATAAGACACAAATCAGTAACCACAAGGTTGCCACAGGAACACCATTTATTTTTGAAAATTTCATTTTGACACTTGAAAATTTGATGTATTTATTCATTTATCTGTATTTAAATCAAAACTGCATTTGAATTTAAAATATCTGTATGACAAAATGTGCCTCAAAGAAACATAAAAGCAAGTAGCAGCCGATAAGCACAATAAGATGCCTAACATGAGTCTTTAGGGAAATGCAAAAAAAAAACCATAATGGGATACCACTTCACACCCATTAAGTTGGCTGAAATTTAAAAAAAAAAAAAATCAGGCATAAAAGTGTTGGCAAGGATGTGGAGAAACTGGAACCGACATACATTGCTGGTGGGATTGTAAAATGATGCGGCAGAAGGGCAGAACCTAGTCTGGTGAAGAGGGCCGTCTGTCTGTCTGAAATTATTTTTAGATTGGAACTGTAAGGATGAGTGAGAATTAGACCTTGAAGGCCAGGAGAGAAGAGGGAGGTGGGACAGTGGTCCGTGTTGAGAGAAGAGTCTGTGTGAAGCCCCAGGGGCAAGAAAGAGCTCAGCGAGTTCTTGGAGCTGAATCTAGGCTTGGAGCACAGATGAGGCTTGGGGAGGAGGGGATAGGAGGGTGGAAGAGTGCCAAGATTTTAGGAATGAGCAGGAATCGTAATGATGAGGTCTAAACGCTTTAACATGAGGGGATGGGCAGCCAGTGAAAGGTTTTACACCAGAGAATAAAAACGACCCTTTTTGTATGTAAGAAAAGTCACTCAATAGCATAAGGAGTATAGTCGATAATATTGCAATAACTATGTATGGCGTCAGATGGGTATTAGATGTATCCAGGTGATCACCTCGTAAGTTATAAGTCTAATCACTATGTCGTACACCTGAAACTAATGTAATATTGCATGTCAAATGCATCTGAAAAAGAAATTATTTTTAAAAATCAATAAAAATATGCTTCAGTTTGAAAAAGAAAGAAAGATCACTCAGACTGCAGTGCAAAGAAAAAACTGGAGAAAAATTAAATTGGTGGTTAAGAAGATAAGCTCTAGCTTTTGCAGTAGGTCTGGTAAGAGATGGTGGCCTAACCCAGGATAGTGACTATAGGAATGGACAGAAGACGGACCTGAAAGGTATTTAAGAAGTCTGCATGACAGGACTTGATGAGTGATTTAATGTAGGTGTTAAGGGAAAGCGAAAAGGCAGAGATAATGCCCAGATTTCTGGTTTGATGTAATTAATGGCAACATTGTAAAAATGCTGGTGGTGGTGAAGCTCTTCATTGGGAATGTGTTCTTGCTAAGATCCTCCGTGATCTTCTCCTGACCAAAGCCACTGTTCATTCTTCAGTCTTCATCTGATTCACCTAGAAGCATTTGACTCAGCTCATCACTTCTTCCTTCTCGCTTCTTTCTTCCCTTGGCTTCTTACACCCCACACTACTATAGTCCCTCCTGTCTCACTGGACACTCTCCATATCGAACCTCTAGAGTTGGAGGATCCCAGAGCTCACTCGTCGTTCATTCTTCTCTGCCCTCACTGCTTAGGAGGCTGCATCCAGTCCAATGGCTTTCAATACCTTCTAACCTCTGGCAACTCTTTTTTTTTTTTTTTAAATCAAACTTTTTTTTTTTTAAGATTTTTATTGGGGAATTGAGGGGATGGGAACAGTGCTGGGGAATTGGGGGAAGGGGAACAGACAAGTTGCTGTTGTTTTGTTCTTCAGTCTAGTTGTGGAGGACGTTGCTTCACTGGCCCAAGTTGACACCATCATTGCGCTGTTCCCGGGTGAGGCAGATCAGTCGCCGGCTTCTGGACGGCCGCTCACTGCGGCTGCTGGCCGCTCACGCTGGCTGCTGGCTGCTCACGCTGGCTGCTGGCTACACAAGGTAGCCCATGGCAATCCACTGCAGCAGGGGCTGCAGCCCACACCATCGCCAGCGACTCACAGCAGCCCAGCTCCAGGTTGAGCCGTTGTTCAGCATCTTAGCTGTGGAGGGCCGTGTCACTGGCCCTCATATGTGGGATCCAAACCGGGGCCCTCTGGCGTCCCAAGCCAGTTCTTAACCATCGCACCACTTGGCCAGCCCCTCTGGCAACTCTTAAATTCATATTACTATCCCAGACCTTTCCCCTGAATTCCACATTTGTATAATCAACTACTCAATATATCCAATTGGATGTTGTGTTGGAAAAACTCTGTTTCTACTGTGAGCCTTTCTTTACTCTCACGCAGAACCCTTCACTTCCCACCCTTTTGGTCACCAAATGTGTGGAGGTTTCCGCACAGCAAGCAATCTTCTGTAATACCAGCTGGGTATCCTAAAATTAATTTAATTCTGAAACTATCTAGCTGAAGATAGTGTCAGATCTCACAGGTCAAGGGCTCAGTCACACAAGACTGTTTCCACCCATTTCAGGTGCCAATCACAAGTAGTAGGTCCCCAGATTACCCACAACTTCTCTCCAACTTGGCTACAATTGGAGGTTCCCACAACCCCCTCTTAAGGTTCGATTAATTTGCTAGAGTGGCTCTCAGTACTCATGGAAACACGTACTTAAGTTACCAGTTTATTAAAGGATACAGATGAGCAGCCAGATAAAGGAAGAGATACACGGGGCGAGGTCTGGAAGGATCCCAAGCTCAGGCGCTTCGATCCCCATGGAGTTGGAATGTACCGTCCTCCCAGTGTGGATGTGTTCACCAACCTGGACGCTCCCCACACCTGTATTATTGGGATTTCATGGAGGCTTTCTTACATAAGCATAATTAATTATTAACTCTGTTTCTAGCCCCTCTCCCTTCTCTGGAGATTAAAGGGCGAGGCTGAAAATTCCAGGCTTCTCATCATGGCTCGACCTTTCTGGTAACCAGCCCTCATACTGAAGCCATCCAGGAACTTACCCAGGCTCTCCTCAACAGAACAGAAAATGCTCTCAGGGCTCTTATCACTTTGGAAATCACAAGGGTTTTAGGAGCCCTCTGTCAGGAATGGATCGGAGACCAAATATTATAAAACAAGAGGTGCTCCTAGTGCTCTTATCACTCAGGAATTTACAAGGGTTTGGGGAGCTCTGTGCCAGAAGCCAGGGAAGAGACCAATATATATTTTCTATGATCTCACAGATGTCAAATACTCATCTTAGCTTTAAATATACCAGAAAAAACCTGTGATTCACCATCACCACCATCCCGCCTCAAATACATTCCTCCCACAGTTTTGCCCTCTCAGTAACTGTCAAATCCATCCTTCCAGCTGCCCTCTCATTTTCTCACATCCCACATCCAATCCATCAAGTATACACACCAGGCTTCTCCCTCAACATATATCCAGAACTTGACCACTTTCTGCAACCTGGGGTACACTTTCCTCAAGGAGAGGGCAGAAACTCCAATAAGCCTGGTTGAAACTTGCCAAGCCTGGTAGGGCCCCAGTTGGCATAGGGCCCTGGCACTTCTGCCCACATGCTATCGGTCAAAACAAGTTGTGTGGAAAAGCTCAATACCAGTGAGCTTTAGGGAAGTGTACTCCACACAACGTGAACTAGGGAATTCACAAGGGAAGGGAGGGAAGGGTGAATTGTGAACAAAGAATACAATCTACCACAGTATACCAACAGGACTTTGTCTGCCTCACTGTCTCTCATCTCAGACTCTGTTTCAGGCTCTTCACAGTGTCTAGGGCTGCCTAAGTGTTAGTTTCCAATGGCTGCCATAATAAGGTGTCATACACTAGATGGTTTCAAATGACAGAGATTTATTCTCTCACAGTTCTGGAGGCTAGAAGTCGAATAGAGGTGTTGGCAGGGTCTTGCTCCCTCCAAAGTCTCTAGGGGAGGATCCACCCTTGCTTCTTCTGGCTTCTGGTCCCACACCCCCCAGGCATCCATTGGCTTGTGGCAGCATAGCTCCAATATCTGCCTCTGTCTTCACATGGCTGTCTTCCCTCTGCCTAAGGAAGCCCATCACGCTAGACCTCTAAGGACATGGATATTTGGGGACCAGAGGGCAGACTGTTATAGGTTGAATTGTGTTCCCTCAAAAGATTTTGAGGTCCAAACCTGCAATATCTATGAATGTGACCTTATTTGGAAATAGGATCTTTTCAGATGTAATCGAGTTAAGATTCGGTCATAGTGAATCTGGGTGAGCCCTCATACAGTATGACTGGCGTCCTTAGAAGAGCCTCAGACACACAGGGAGAAGATAGTTATGTGACAACAAAGGCAGAGATTGGACTGATGCATCTAAAAGCCAAGGAACACCAAAGATTGCCAGCAAACAGCCAGAAGCTAAGATGAAGCAAGGAAGTACTCTACTCATGAGCTCATCACTTCTTCAGAATATTTGAGATGTTCAAATGCCATTGTATTTAAAGATTTGTTCTTTAAATTTAGACGGTTATGGATCGACTTAAACATCTGAACCTAAGAAAAGCAGCTATTTTAACTAAACTTCAGAGTGCAGAGGAAGAAATGAATGAGGCAATGGAAAATGTAAGTTATTTTTAACTGTTTGAACATGTACCTTTTTACTGCATGTTTTTACCTTAATTTGTATCCTTTCAAGGTTTAAAAGGAGTTTCAGGATAACTTTTATAACAATGGATTTGATTTTTGAGAAGAAGCCATAATATTAGTACAATATTCTGGTAGACACTAAATACAACAAAACAAAAGTATTGAAACAAAGAAAAACAATAAAAGCAGAACAACCAACCAACCACAGGAATAAAGAGAAAGAAAAAAACCAAGTTCACTTAAAAATTTTGGCAGTACTAGAAAAAGCAAAGACAAAAGCCCTCAACTCTATAAGCATTCACTCATTCCTTCAATGATTCAACCAATTTTTTAGAATAACTGCTGTGTTCCTATCACTGATGTATGCATATTATGGATGTGATGGTTCAATTTATAATTGCTAAGTGCTAGAAGATCCACAGGGCTCAAATGTATGTGCTGCTGAAGCAAGCACACATGGGGGCTTTACTTGGAGGATTCGATCTATTCTGGAAGGGAGAAGAGACCAGAGTTCATTCCTCTGCTATTATTTTCCTGAGGTTTTCGGAAAGCAGCAAACACAAATGGATGTGTTGTCTGCTTTGTTTAACCAGAGGCATTCCTGATTGTTTTTAAGACTATTATCCAACTCATTTAAAAATGCATCTTCTCATCGCCCCTCAGCACCTGCTAGACATGTGGCTCTGGGGGCTTGAAGTTGAGAGAGAAACATTGCCTGCTATTCAAACACTTTTCCCAAGTTGGGACAGGAAATGGGGATGATCAGGAAAGAGTGGCTGCCTCCTGACTTGACTGAGTCATCAGTTGTACACTCCATGGAGAAGTTGGGTAGCCCTACCAACAAGGTTCTCGGTTTCAAGCACATCCCCTAAGCACTGACACACTCCTTTACACTTAGCTACTTCTCCCAGTCTTCGGTTGGGGACATTCATGCAGCATCCCTGCGCTGTACATGCCTCTTTGCTCTCTGATGCTGCAGCGGTCCAGGCAAGACCATAGCTCCCACTCTCATCTGTCCTTCACAGTCAACTCTGGAGCCAGCAGGTAATGTGAGATCCAAATCTGAAGGTGGGCGAGAGCCAACCTGGACCCTGGGCCCCTGGAAGTTGACCAGCATGCCAGTTTCTCCAGTTCTCTCATCCCCTGCTAAGATAGCATAAGGACAGTGAACTTTTTAGCAATCTGTTGTCTGCAGAGAATTGGTTCTTAACTTCTCTGGAGGTCACCAACAGGAAGGATTGTTGAGAGCAGCTTTACATTTTAAGATGAATGAAACAGCTAAGTAAATGCAAAAAAAAAATAATCTGTGTATAACATCTTACTATTTAAAAACTTAAGTTGGCGAAGAATCTGGTACATTTTCAAACCTTTTTAATAAGAACTTTTCAGAATCTGTTTTCTGAAACAGATAATAGAAAACACTATCTACCGTATGCTCATTCTACCCTATAATAGAAAATGCTCAGTAAAATTTGTTTTTTGGGTTTTTTTTGTTGTTGTTTTTATTATTATTAGTTTCAGGTATACAAAACAATGCTATAGTTATCCTTTTCACCCCTCACAAAGTGACAATATATCATACATATTTATTACAATTCCATTGACTCCACTCCCCACACTATACTCCACATCCCATAACTATATATATATTAAATTATAGTTGACATATAATATTATTCAACGGCAGCTTCAGATGTACAGTGCAGTCAGTGGTCAGACCTGTACACCATCCGTGAAGTGGCCTCCCTAACAAGACATGAGTCCATCTGGACCCCTAAAAAATATTTACAACATTATTAATTATATTCCCCAAACTGTCTTTCATATCCCTGTGGCAATATTGTAGCTACCTATTTTTGCTGTCTAATCCCTTCCCCTTCTCCCTCATCCCCACCCCCTCCCAACTAGCAGCCAGCCATCAGTTTTATTTCTATGTCTCAGACTATTTCTGTTTACATTACTTGTTTATTTAGTTCTTTAGATTCCACATATAAGTGAGATCATATGGTATTTGTCTTTCTCTGACTGACTTATTTCACTTAGCATAATTTTCTCTAGGTCCATCCATATCGTTACAAATGGTATGATTTCCTTCTTTATAGCTGAATAATACTCCATTGTGTAAATGTACTACAGTTTCTTAATCCAGTCATCTACCGATGGGCATTTCAGTTGTTTCCAAGTCTTGGCTATTGTAAATGAAAATGCTCAGTAAAATTTAAACGAGATCTTACAACACAAATGAAAACTACTTGTCTATTAAATTTTGGACAAGTGCAGAATGGTTGCAATCGAAAAAAAAAGCCAACCCCCATCCACTGCCGGATAACTATTGTATTGTTCTGTACACCTGAAACTAATAATTAAAATAATAATAATAATAATAATAATAATAATAATAATAATAATTAGAATGGGTGCAAAAATTAGCATTTTTATCACATATTTATTGTAAGATGAATAAAAAAATGGATTAAAAAAAAGCCAAATTTGCTTTCTAAATTGTTTCTTAAATAGTAAAGCACTATCAAACAAGAAATGACATAATATTGTTAATTTCAGCAAAACTTATGTCCACATATTTAATGTAGTATTTGGTATTAACAGGATGAGCTGTTTCGTGCTCTTGCATCTTGTAAACATATTGCACCAAGATACAGATGGCAGAGAAGCAGATGGGGACAGATGTGTCCCGTGAGTTTAAAAGAAGGTAACATTCATCTAGGATTGCTAGACTTTTCTGTAAGGTACGTAAGATTTTCAGAACTTAATTTTTAAACTTGCCCATACCGCTTTTCAGTTGTTTATGATTATGACATATTTTAAGTTTTCTAGGTAAAATATACTGTCTGTCATCAGAAGAAACATTAAAAAAATTCCTATTGAACCCACGTCCCTATCTTCTTCCACCTATGCCAACACCACCATTTAAAGTATTCATATTTGGACCTCAATCTTCAGGAAAAACAACACTTAGCAATTTGCTTGCAGAACATTACAAAGGAAAGGTAACTACTTAGCTAGCTAGCTAGCTTTCTACCTATCTATACTTAATTACAATTTGTAGGATTTGTACTCAGTTTTCTTAATTTTACACTGTCAGTGGGGTAATTGTTCCATTAGGGTTCGAGTGGGCAAGGCATCCTTATTGCTGTTTATTGTAGTTTCCAGACCATAGCCCCTCCCTGCTTCCCAAAAGCCCCCAGATTTAACTGTTACATCCTATAGACAATGGCACCTGTTACCTCTCTTGGTTCCACTGGTCTGCTGCTTCCTGGATTATACCCCTCTTGGCTCACTGTTACTCTCTCCATATCCTCACTCCTGTCATAATTGTTGGTAATTTCAGTATCTACAGAGATGACCCTTCCAACCCCCTGGCCTGTCAATTCCTTTACCTCTCCCACCTTGTTCTCCACCCTCAGTAAGTGAATTATTTTTAGCTTGGACCACAGCGATAGCTGTAGAGGTGGTAAGAAGGAAGACTTGGGAAAGCATTTGACGAGGGATTGGAACACAGAGGAATTAGTTGAAGGCCAGTGGGACTAGAGTATAGAGTGTGCGAGGAGGAATGGCACAAGATGAAGATGGCAGAAGATATAGTCAGAGCAACACAGGCCCTGAGAAGGAGTTTGAATTTATTCTAAGTGCTACTGAATTCTTTTAAACACAGGGGTAACATTTTTATTTGCTTTTAACTTTTGTATTGTAAAATATGACAAACATACAGAAAAGTGAAGCTCACAGAATTATCACAAAACAAACCCCCATATCACCACCACCCAGGTCAAATATGGAATGTAGCCAGCATCCCAAAAGCCCCCTCAGGCCTCTTCCCGATACCAATCCCCTTACTCCTTCCACGAAGGTGACCACTGCCCTGAACTTTACGGTATTCACTTCTATACTTTTCTTTTATGGTTTTACCATGTAAACATACATCCAAATACCATAGGTTAGTTTTGCACATTCTTTTTTTAACTTTATAGGCTTAAACAGTTTATGTTCTTTGTGCCTGTCTTCTCTCACTTAACATTATGATTGTGGTATTTGTGCATGTTATCGCAAATAACTATAGTTTATTCATTTTTATTGTTTTACTGTATTATATTAATTGAATTATAATTTGTTTATCCATTTGAGTGTTAATAAAAATTAGGTTAATTCCAGTTTGGGTTACTATGAATAATATTGCTATAAACATTCTTCTACATGTCTCTCAGTGCACATATGCATAGCTTTACAAATATTTTAGAGCTATATCTAAGGGTAAAGTTTCTGGTACACAGGGACATATGCATATGTTTAATTTTTATAGATAATGCCAAACTGTTTTCCAAACTATTCTATTCACTTGCAATCCTATCAGAATGTTTGAGAGTTCTGTTATTCCACATTCCTGCCAACTTTTGTTAGGGGCAGTCTTTCTAATTTTAGTCATTCCAATAGGCATATCTATCTCTCTGTGGATTTAATTTGCATTTCCCTGATGACTAATAAGGTTGAACATTTTTCCATATGTTTACTTATCATTCAGATATTCTGTTTTTGAACTATTGGCTCAAGTCTCTTGCCCATTTTTTAATAATTTTTTTTATTTTTCAATTACAGTTGACGTACAGTATTATATTAGTTTCAGGTGTACAACGTTAGTGATAAGACATTTATATAAGTCACGAAGTGATCACCCTGATAAATCTAGTACCCTTCTCACACCTACATACTTACTACAGTATTATTGATTATATTCCCTGTGCTGTACTTTACATCCCCATGACTATTTTGGTGAAAAATGTATCATCATCTTCATTTAAAGCAAGTCACTAAGTGCTGCCTACACTGAAGAGGGGGGATTAGGCTTCATCTTCTGAAGGCAGGAGTATTAAAGGATTTGTGGACATGTTTTGAAACCGTCACTACATGTGTCAGACAAAGGAATTATAATTTTAACACATAAATAATTCTTACAAATTAATATGCAGATGAAGCCCCAATGGAAAAAACATAGCAAACAGATAATTTACAAAATAATAGATACGAATAGCCATTAAACAGAAAGACACCAAAAAACCAGAGTTATGTCATGTCAATCTCCATGTTAGAGTTGAAGGATCACTGTTAACACCCAATATTGATGTGTGACTAAAATGGGGAAAATTACATTCTCATACACTGCTGGTGAGGGCATAACCATTAGAAATATGTATAAAAGCCTAAAATCCATGTATATCATTTGAACTGTCAGTTCTATTTTATAGATTTTTTTCCTAAAGAAACTATCAAAGATATATACATAACTGTATTCATTATAGCCTAGTTTATAATAGCAAAAACATGTATACCTAAATATATATTATTGGTATTTTAGTTAAATAAATTGTAATATATTCATCTAATACAATACTGTGCATCTACTAAAAAACTGATAATGTAGATATATATTTATTGACATGGAATAAAGTAATATAAGCATATTGAAGGAAAGCAAAATGGAATCTAGAAGTATAGAAATATTATTTAAACTTAAAAGGCATATAGAAATTTATTTCTGACAATTCAGTATGAAGTATATTATCTACCTGACAAAGGACTTACACTCAGAATATATACGTGTGTGTGTGTGTGTGTGTGTGTGTGTGTGTGTGTGTGTGTATTATCCAATGTTTTAAATTGGAAAAAGTTAACATGTGCTTAAAAACAGAAGGTAAGTGAGTGACCAATAAGCAAATAAAAAGAAGTTTAAAATTACTAGTGACTAGGGAAATGTAATTTTAAACTATAATGAGATACTTCTTCAGAATGGTTAAAATTTAAAAAATTCACAAACCATGTGTTGGTGAGGATGTAGGATAACTGCTAGTTTCATACGTTGCTAGTAGGGAAGTAAAATAGTTCAACCACTTTGGAAATAGTTTAATGGTTTATTGTAAAGTCCAATATGCACTTACCATATGACCCAGTAATTCCACTCCTAGATATTAATCCAAGGGAAATGAAAACATATGTCCACAACAAGATTTCTTCACAAATGTTCATTACTACTTTATTTATAATATCTAAAAACTTGAAACAACCTAAATGTCCATCAATAGATAAAGGAATAAAAAATTGGTATATTCATACAATAATACTACTCAACAATAAAAACTAACAGATTACTGATACATACAGTTACACTGATGGATCACAAAAATGTTATGATAAAGGGAAGAATACTGGAAAAGATTACATACTGTATGGTGCCATTTATATGAAATTCTAGAAAAGGCAAAACAAATCTATAGTGACCGAACACAGAAAGTGGTTGGCAGAGGCCGGGAACTGACTACAAAGAAGAATGAGGGAACTTTGTGGGGTAATATAAATATTCTATATCTTGATCATGGTTGTTATTAATATTATATGTATACATTTATAAAAACTCATCAAACTGTATACTTAAAGTGAGTACTTTTTTATATATAAATTATACATACAAAGTTGATTTTAAAAGTATATATGTAACTTGAATATATATTACATGATATAGGTATCCATATATAAATATATAATCCTACATGAAAAATATGACTGAATTTCTATGAAAGCAAGTACTCAAAAACCAGTGAATTCTGAAAATAACATACTTCAGGCAGCATTAAAATTTTTGAGATAGATAGGAATAGATATAGATATAAATACATACAGTTATAGATATAGATGAACAATGTGTTAAATTTCATGATAACTTGTGCTTATTTGATTTTCTCAAATATTCTTTGCAGGTAGTTGACTATGCCAAACTTGTTCAACCACGTTTTGATGAAGCCCTTGAAACATTAATAAAAAATACTATAGCTGAGGCCACTGAAGCAGCTATTAAAACTGTGAACGAACGTCTTCTCACAGAGCTAGAAGCTAAAAGACAAGGTGACCCATCTTTTTAAAATATGTTTTTTAAGGTTAGGTCAACAGGTAAGCCTGGCGACGTGAGGGCAAGGACTTGGTTTACTCGTCTTGACATCTCTGGCACCTTGTACCTGGTAGCCTCTTAATAAATAGTGGAAGAAATGAGTATACATAAACCTGATTCATAAACACAGATAAGATTTCAATTCCAGACTTCTAAGGAAAGGAATCAGAAAGAGCTTCCAAGTTTAAATTTCTTTATTTTCATGAGTCAGCTCACTGGCCAAGACTGAGCGGAATTTACCATATTTCCCCATATATAAGATGCTCCCATGTATAAGACGCACCTTAATTTTGGGGCCCGAAATTTGAAAAAAAATGTATTACATAAAGTTATTGAACTCAAGTTTTATTCATCATAAAATTCATACAACTCCTCATCACTGTCAAAACTCCACCATTAGCTTGTCCTCATCTGTGCCTGATGACGAATCACTGTCTTCATATATTGCCTCTCATGGCCTTCTTCTGTCGTGGTGTTTTCAGTAGGGTTTCTTTTTCCCGTAGCCAGTCTTGGATTGTTTTCTCAGTTGGAGGAGGACCAAACTTACGTTCAGCAGCATGATTTCCATTCACTTTTGCAAACTGGATCACTTTTAACTTGAATTCAGCACTGTACGAAAATCTTTTCTGAGCCATTTCTGGGCAGAACGTGGCAAAATGTAACCTACCGTAATACACCGGTAACAAGTGCAAAACAACAAGTGCAAAAAAGTGGGAAATGCAAGTAAAAAAATCTACAACAATAAGCGCAAAACCAAGCGCGAAAAAGCGGGAAATGCAAGTTCAAAAATCTACAACCACTGTGTAAGACACACCCAGTTTTTAGACCCCAAATTTTTCGAAAAAGAGTGCATCTTATACTTGGGGAAATACGGTATGCCTTTAACTACACCAATTGTGACACCACCACCACTCCGCCTGACTTATGAGTTTGCTGTGGCTGCTGCTATTGTTGTTTTAGGCTTGTATGTCAGCTCTGATTGTAAATTAAATCTTCCTATTTGGGGAATATCAATTTTAAATTCAAAAAGTTATCAAGCGGTGGAACTGGAAGAAGCCTTAGTGATCAATTGACACAATTCTCTAACTTTACAGATGAGAAAACTGAGACATATGGAGGTTAAATGGCTTCCTGAAACTCACCGGGCTGGTAGCATAGCTGAGACTTGAACCCTCATTTCCAAAAATCCCAGTGTTCTTTCTACTGACCATTCTGCCTCTTCCTGTATTTCACTCTTCAACATATCATTTTAGAAAGACACAAGGGTTTGAGTTTGTTTTTTTCTGTTTTTCTCCAGGAAAAATGAGAGTTCTTATTTCATGGTTGTTTTTGAAATTCATTGGTTGGCTTTGGTAGAATTTATATCTATAGTTGGCAGCCTTGTAACCAGTCACATTAGAACACGTGAAAGTAGCTTAATCTAAACATTGCCCCTTCATGGGCTACCCTCAGTGCAGCATCTCCTATACACTACATGAGATCTTTCTCACTTTCTAAGATCTGGATCCAAAATTTGAGATTAGCTCCACCAATTTTAGACTAGCTTCAACCACTGCTGTTTGGATTTTCAGAAGCTACGACAGTGTACTGTCCTCTAATATGGCTATCACTGCCTCAATTCCAAATATTCTCTTCCTAATCAAGTTTTTCTCATTACAATAGTAACAATAGATGGTATTTATGGGGCATTTACTATACTATAGGGCTGTGTTAAATGCATTGCATGCATTACCCTACTTAATTCTCATAATGCACCTGTGAGGTAGGTACTTTCATCACTACTTTTAGTAGACTAAGAAACTAAGGCTCAGAGGGGTTAAGAAACTTGTCTACAATTGACAGCCAGCAAGTGATTGAGATTTAGTTTGATGTCTGTGATCTTATCCTCTATCTTTGGTGGTCACAGAAAACTGGAAAGAGCAGATGGAAAAAAGATTCACTCATACTTATTCCCCAGCGATGTCCCCTGTTAGGAATTTGATGCATTCTCCAGCCCCCCCTTTTTTGTATTCATGTTTGTAATGATTAATTGTGACCCCATGATATGTGCAAAATTGCATTCTCTCATTTTAAAATAATGTTTCTTCCTAATTAGTATGTAATTATTGTAATAAATTCTGTGTTAAATGGGGATCTAAATTTTTTATTTCCAAAATCGTGGACCAATTTTACAAATAACATTTACTAAATTATCCATAATTGTACTAGAGATTTGAAATGCCATCTTTAATATTAATTTCATATGTGTGTGTAAACTTCTGAATTTTCTAGTCTATTCATTTTTCTAGCTTTTTATACAAAATATAATTACTAAAGCTTTATGATGCATTTAAACCTCATAATTCAAGTTTCTCCACAAAACATTTTGTCTTAAAATTATTCCTGGGTATTCTTTCACTTATTATTAATACATAAAAAGAATGCTTACTGTGTACCAGGAGCTGTACTAGGCTTTGAGATACATCTAGAATTTTGTCAGTTCTACAACAAATCCCATGGGATGATTATGTTAACATTACTATTAAGCTTCTCTTACAGACAGATGAAATCTCCATTTTTTTTGGTATAATAGTGGTATCCTTCCTTAACATTTTGTAGCTTTCTTCATGTATTATCTACACTTTTCTTAATAAGTTTGTTCCTAGATATTTTGTCATTTTGTTACTATATTGTTGTTGGAAAAGTCATGACATATTTTGTCTATGCTTTTCAAAGGTCATTTATTTATATAAAGAACAAAGATCAATCAATGATATATTGCCGTTTTGCTCGATAACCTTTTGCCATCTTTCAGTGAGCTTCATAATTCCTCATTCATAGAAGGACCTGCCTTTATTTGCGAAAAGCTGAACAAGGTGCTGATTTACAGCCTCATCTGAATTGACTGTTGTACCACGCAAGGAGTTTTGAAGAGAGCAAAACAAGTGGAAGTCTGATGGTGCAAGGTCAGGCGAGTATGGTGGGTGTGGCAACACATCCCATCCAAGCTCCAATAATTTTTGACGGGTGATCAAACTTGTG